AAAGCAATAAGCCACGTGAAGCCGTGGTTTACAGTGAATTTATAACAGCTAAGAGGGATGACTCCGCTTAGCGTCGTGCCTAACAACGCCCCTTAACTGTTATAAATTCACTGTAAACCACGGCTTCACGTGGCTTATTGCTTTAATAATGCATCATCTTCTTATCGATCCACCAGTTCACATTTACAGCTCTGTGTGTTTGCAGGGTTTGATTTCTGCATTGGTCTGAACAAAAACAACAGGCTTATTTGCTTTCGGAACGGCAGAAATATAACAACTAAACGCTCTTGAAATCATAATTAAGACTCTCTTGTACAATTTAAGACTTTGGCCTGGTTTCACAGACAGGGCTTAGACTAAGCCAGGATTAGGCCATAGTTCAATTAGGACATTTAAGTAATTTTTCATAAACATGCCTTAGAAAACACATTTCTGGTGTTCATCTTGAGACAAAACAAAGGCACTGATATATTTTAAGATCAGTCAAGTGCAAGTTGACACAGCTCAGACTTACATTTTAGTCTGGGACTAGGCTTAAGCCTTGTCTGTGAAAGCAGGGGTTTATGGCCTTACATTTGATGCAACTAAATGTAAGACTTTTTAAGGACCCGCAGAGGCCCTGGGTTCATCTGCGCTCACCACTGTTTTATCCCTCGTTTAAGCGTGCATCTGTCGTTCTGCAGACTAACGCAGGTAACGAGCCGGACGCTGAAGACGAGCAGGTGTGCTGTGAGGCGCTGGAGGTCATGACCTTGTGTTTCGCTCTGCTCCCTACGGCCCTCGACACGCTCAGCAAAGAGAAAGCCTGGCTTATGAAAGAATAACGCAATTAAAATTTTATGCAGTTAACGCGCTGGCCCCACCCCCAGACCTGTACGTCATTACATTTCATACAGTTGACTGTTGACAAATGTGACCCTGGAGCACAAAAGCAGTGTTAAGTCGCTGGGGTATATTTGTAGGTTATGACCTAAAATTCAAGATATAGGGGCAAAAAATGCCCCTGAATGAGTTTTTGTCCCATATTTATGTCATACGATAAGTGATATAACACCAGCAGTGAGAGCAATATCAGACGAGTGCTGTTTTTGTCCTGAATATCACAACAGTTCAGTAAATAAGAAGTTAATTTTGTGTTATATGTTAAACACAATATTGTCTGTTTTTGCTCAATTTTGCAGAGAAATTATTACCTTTAAAACCAGAGCAGAATTGTTGTGTGTCTCCGAGCAACACAGCGGTGTTTAGTTTCTGAATGAATCTGTGTTTTGAACGAATCGTGTGAATCAATGATTCAAAGACCCATTCATAGAGAGAGCCGTTTACTTTACGTTCGAACAAATCGAATGAATGAATGACTCAAAACACATTTACCGCCACCTGCTGGCAGATTTAGTTTCTTATTTAGAGTATCATTTCATTTAAAAAAAAAAGCCTTACAGGGATAGTTTTCATCAATTACCCTCATGTAATTTCAAACCTGTATGACTTTCTTTTGCACAACATAAGAAAAGGTATTTTGAAGACTGTTTGTAACAAAGCTGTTTTGGTTACCAGTGACTTTCATTGTATGAACATAAAATACTGAGATGTTTCCCTAGTTATCTTTTTTATCTTCCAAAGTTTATGTTAGCCTAAACATTTATGTGTAATAAATTTTAAGTTGAATCAAATAATATTTCTTTCTAAAGCTACTATTTGTAATGTCTACTTGATCCTCTCTCATTTAACACAATAATGGCTTTAAACGATCTTTCGTGGGTAATTTCACAGCCAAATTTAATTTGCTATTAATTAATCGACACATGATGTAATTAATTAGATTAAAAATGTTAATCGACTGACAGCCCTAGTTTGTACAGATATGTTGTGAAAGCGAAGTGCACTTGATTTGTATCTGTCTGTGTCTCTCACAGGAGCTGACCGATGACTTCATCTTCCCGGCGTCTAACGTGTTTCTGCAGTTCGTGAAGAGCGCCGAGTTCCCGGCGGAGCAGGCTATACCGGTGTGCAGCAGTCCTGCGTCTATAAACGCCGGCTTCGAGCTGCTGGTGGCGCTCTCTGTCGGCTGCGTGCGGAACCTCAAGCAGATCGTCAACACGCTCACAGACATGTACTATCTAGGTACTGACTGACTGCATTTCAGATAAACCAGCTGACGTGAAGGGCTTTGCCTGCGTATTAAACACAGTTTTTGGGCCTGTTTGCTTTTAGTGTATCAATGAGCCTCATTAACAAAGCATCTGAAAAACATCCTTTATGAATTGAATCGAATGTAACTTTTATAGAAGTGCATTCTGCTCCTGTTTCATGAACAAGAGGCGTTTTAAACTCCTGCATCTGGTCTCAGGTTGTGAGGCGCTTACAGAGTGGGAGTATCTGCCTCCGGTGGGGCCGCGGCCGACTAAAGGCTTCGTGGGTCTGAAGAACGCAGGAGCCACGTGCTACATGAACTCCGTGATCCAGCAGCTTTACATGATCCCGCCCATCCACAACGCCATCCTGGCCATCGAAGGCACTGGCAGCGACATCGATGACGACGACACGTCCGGAGACGAAAAGCAGGACAACGAGGTAAAGAACGCACACACGTGTCGCTCAACCGTACAGAAACCCCTTAGCTAGGGTTGGGAATCGAAAATCAATTCCAATTCCAGGATCGGATGCTTGGTGTAAAATTTAAATTATAAAGCGGATAGTTCCGGTCCTTGATTCTGATTGGCTGAGCCGCGTTCGAAGCTGTTGTAAATGACTCTACAATTCCACCCATCAATTCCTGTTTTAGTTTGTGAAAAGGGGCTGTTAAAAATGTATTTGTCTTTGAATCATTCATTCAAAAACACTGAATCATCCAGTAATGAAACAAGTAAATCTTGAGTGAGTCATTGAATCATTCATTCAAGAGATTCATTCAAAAACACTGAATCATCCAGTAATGAATCAAGTAAATCTTGAGTGAGTCATTGAATCATTCCATTCAGAAATTCCATCAGATTTTGTTTAGTTGTCTAATATTTTTTCTTCAGAATTGTGAGAGAACTACAACCTCCATTAAAAAAAAAAAGTCTCAATTTATCCAGAATTGTGTGGATCTATTTTGCACACAATCAGCTCTTAAAGGGATAGTTCACCCAAAAATAAAAATTTGATGTTTTGAATTTTGTTACCATTGCCATGCATTATACGACTGATAGACTGCAACAGTTGCAGTTAAAAATCATCATATGTGTTCTACTGAAGAAGCAAAGTCACCTACATCTTGGATGCCCTGGGGGTAAGCAGATAAACATCAAATTTTCATTTTTGGGTGAACTATCCCTTTAATCGAGTCCAGTTTTTATGCAGCCGGCTGATTTTTGTTCATGGTATTCAGCAGCAATTAAAAGTTTTTTTTTCAAAAAGAGACAGAATAAATGTTTGATATCTAAATGTTTGACTTTTTTTTTTAACCACATTGGAATCGATAAGCAGAAACCGGGAATCGATAAGAATCGGAATCGTTATCTGAATTGGAATTGATCAAATTAAAACGATACCCAAACGTACCCTCAGCGCAGAGATTCAGTCGGTTCGGACGCGTCTGAATGTGCATCGTGCTGCAGAGTAATGTGGACCCCAGGGATGATGTGTTCAGTTATCATCAGCAGTTTGATGACAAGCCCTCTCTCAATAAGGCCGAGGACCGTCAGGAGTACAACATCGGAGTGCTGTGGCGTCTGCAGGTCATCTTCGGTCACCTCGCCGCGTCCCGTCTGCAGTACTACGTGCCCAGAGGCTTCTGGAAACAGTTCAGGTACAGTCAGCCGTGAATGCATGTGCTTTTCTTTGAAATAACATTGTGCATCAGCCACAGCCAGTCAGATTTTGTGTATAATTTGTGGGGAAGTCTAAATCTCTCCCTGTTTCTAAGCTCAATATACAGAGACAACTGTAAGTGTTGTTTTGTGTAAGCGTCGTTTTAAAAAAAAATCCTCCCCGTGTCAAGTAACCGGCAAAATACCGGACGGAAGTGGTGCATTCCACGAACGAGACAAATAAAAGCATAATGCTATTGTGAATTCACAAACACTACGATTCAGTTAAATAAATATATGCGATGCAGGTTTAATATGTGCTTTAATTATTTACATGCATGTAGAGGCTCCGTTCACAGTAAACGCTGCTCCGCACAAACTAATCATTCACATGTGTGGAGCGTCTCTACCTCATCTCTGCATATAGCTGTGAGTTTGGGTTTATTATAATGTTTATCTGGGAACGCAATGTGCGCTATTTCAGATTTGTAAAGTAAATCATTTATAAACCTACGCAAACACAGGAGAATACATCAGTATCTTTCTCAATATGTTAACTGTTCATCGCAATTTCAGAATAAAAGCTCAAACCCTCGCTCTGAGTTTTTACGTTTTGAAGTCCACATATGTGAGAAATTACCGTGGCTGTAGCATTTCTGTCCTAAAGAAATGGCCAGATATTAAAGATTAAGAGGACATTTTAATTAAATGTTTAATCAATATTAAACAAGGATTAGATCGTGCAGTAAAGTGTAAAACAATGCGTAACGTACATTAGCTCTATTGTTTATAATACATTATGTATTTTAACAGTTTTGTTCAATAAAACCATATGATTACTTGCTTTTGATAGTTTATTTGAACTAATTTTTATTGCCTTATTGCGATTAAACATGTATTTTAAGTAATTTTAAAGGATATTGTTGGCATAGGTGTATTTTTATTACCACAGAAAAATTAATTATAATTATCCGGTTACTTGATTGCCAAAATTTACTTGATTTACCTGTGGCCGATGAGGGAATGTTGGGGAAACATGGATTTCTTTTGTCATTCTGTTTGGTGATGCTAGTGGCTCAGAAGTGACACAGTGAAGCTTTGATCCCTGTGAAGTAAGACGACTGCGTGTGAAACGTTCCCGCAGGTTATGGGGGGAGCCGGTGAATCTGAGAGAGCAGCACGACGCGCTGGAGTTCTTCAATTCCCTGGTGGACAGTCTGGATGAAGCACTGAAAGCCCTCGGCCATCCCAGCATGCTCAGCAGGATCTTGGGCGGCTCGTTTGCAGACCAGAAGATCTGTCAGGGTTGTCCTCACAGGTGAGTGAAGGACTGCTCAGTCATTCTGAGGATGTTGAAGTGTATTTGAATCGAGTAATCGTCACTGGTTTCACGATTCAATTCGATTATCATGTCAACGATTCGATATGCATCGCATCCTCAGTTTTCAATATTACTGCACATGGCTACATTTTCATATTAATTTTATATCAGATTTATTTTGTGTATTTCTATTAAATTATACAAGCAGTCTACTTTTTTAAATAATTACAAATTAACAATAAATCAGAACAATTGTTAAGAATTTAACCAACTAAAAATAGCTTCAAAACATACAAGCCAATATAAAGTAATAAAGGGGGAAAAGACAATTACAAGTGATTAACAAAACGTACTTTCAGTATCTGAGAGTGTTCTAAGTATCCGAAAGTTTACAGACAATCTAGGGGTGTGCGATGTATATTGTCTGCGATAATATTGTAAGTGTTGTTTTAACGATGTGCGATATGACATTATCGCAAAAAACAAATAAAACACGCCTACAGAGTGTTTACATTACGTGATGAAGTCTAGTAGGTTAGACTAGTGTGCATGATTCAGTCTATTAAAATACATTCAGAATGATCACAAATTCAAGACATGGGGGCAGAAAAAGTATATATTCGTATAATTTCATATAGTTAATTAATATCACACGAAGAGTGCCGTTTTTTCTCTCTGCAGAAATCTGCATGATTACAAATGTGATATTGATTTTTTTAAATAAAAAAACTTCAATAAACAAGACGTTAATTAAGAGACTTGCGCTTTAGACACCATATTGCCTGTTTTTGCTCTATTTCGCCAACAAAAATAATTCCATACAAAGCCACAGCGTTGTTTTGCGTCTCTGAGCAACATGACAGTGATTCGTTCCTGAATGAATCAACCGTTTAAATGATTCGGTTCAATCGAATCGCAGTGACTCACTTATTAACAGTGACTTGCTGCCACCTGCTGGCGGTTTTAATTTCACATTTAAAGTATCTTTTCATTTTGTAAATAATTTCAAATATCAGTATTCAACATTTTGTGTTTAAAATATCAAAATATTATTTATGTATTTGTAACTGCAGGTTAAAGCATTCATGTTCCTCTGAGCTGCATTAAACAGTGTGTAAATACATCTAAATGCCTCTTCAGACGCAGCTTCTGTGTTTCCTCTGCATTGCAAAGATTAATTTAGTTGATACTGAACTGATTTCATTTGTTTGGTAACAGCCCAAATGTCTTATTATTCTAATTGACTAATTAAATATGAGATATAATAAAATTAATAAAATGTATTGACTCAAAAGATGATGTACACATTTAGAAAAAAATGGCTTTATAAAGGTAGAAAAATTCCCATAAAAGGTAAAAATCAATTAAAACTTGTTGAAAAAGATTAATTTCTATCACCATCACACAGAATATGAAGAATATCAAAAACTTTAGGAGTCAGCTGTCCACAGCGGTCCTTAAGATATCAGCACAATAACACTCTCAGCACAACATCGTCTAATTATCGTTATCGATAAAATCCCAGAAAATGTCGAGATATCATTTTTTGTCAATATCGCACACCACTAAAACAATCATAGTTATGGTTTTTCTTTTTCCCTCAGCATTATTGCTGTTTGATTATTACTGATGAGATCACAGACAGTGGCAGCTTTAATAGACTGCATTCACACTAATGCACAGATCTGCTTCCACATATCAGATGTTTTGTGCTGTTCTGAAAACATAACTCACTGTGTTTACATCAAGTTCCTATCATAAAAGTATTCAGAGACGCAAGTGTGTTTAACCCAGCCGCGATCGAGCTTCAGGACAAACACACACACAGCGCAGTGAAAGTCTGTCAGTACGTGGGTTTGTGCATCTAATACGTACTGCACTCCAAACCACAGAAATGAAAGCATATCTACAGTAAAACACTGAAATAACGGCGAGTGCAAGCAAACACAGCAATGCACACGTGTCTCACAGCACAGATCCTGTGCAATGAAGCTGCCGCGATTCTCTCCAGCACACACACGTGCCATATGCGGGAAAAACCAAGCTCAGATTTAACAAGCGTGTATGCAAATGACGTCAGACGGCTATAATAGATTATGGTCTATTACTGCATCAATGCAGAATCGTCCGCATCGCGATGCATCGTAGACACGATTAATTTCAACACCCCTAATCCATATACGTGTGTTGTGTGTCTTCATAGGTATGAGTGTGAGGAGTCCTTCACAACACTGAATGTAGACATCAGGAACCACCAAAACCTCCTTGACTCTTTAGAACAGTACGTCAAAGGGGATCTTCTCGAAGGAGCCAATGCATACCACTGTGAGAAGTGCAACAAAAAGGTGAGACGTGTTCCCTAAATCCGGTCTGATTGAAGCTGTGCAGACTGGTGAGCTTTGCTCTGGTTTGCCGTCAGGTGGACACGGTGAAGCGTCTCCTCATCAAGAAGCTCCCGCCGGTGTTAGCCATCCAGCTGAAGCGCTTCGATTACGACTGGGAGCGCGAGTGTGCGATTAAGTTCAACGATTACTTCGAGTTCCCTCGTGAGCTGGACATGGAGCCCTACACGGTGGCAGGCGTGGCGAAGCTGGAGGGTGACGAGGTTCCGCCGGAGAGCCAGGTCATCGCTGAGAACTCTGATCCGAACAGCAGCTCCCGCTATCGGCTCGTGGGTGTGCTGGTGCACTCGGGGCAGGCCAGCGGCGGACACTACTACTCTTATATCATGCAGCGGCACTGTAATGGCAGCGACGGACTGAAGGACTGCTGGTACAAGTTTGACGACGGCGACGTGACGGAGTGTAAGATGGACGATGACGAGGAGATGAAGAACCAGTGCTTCGGTGGAGAGTACATGGGCGAGGTGTTCGACCACATGATGAAGCGCATGTCGTACCGGCGGCAGAAGCGCTGGTGGAACGCCTACATTCTGTTCTACGAGCGCATGGACGCAGCAGGGGGCGACGGAGAGCTGCTGAAGTACATCTCCGAGCTGACGCTCGCGCCCCGGACGAACCAGCCTAAAATGCCCTTGGCCATCGAGGCCAGCGTTCGCAAACAGAACGTGCAGTTCATGCACAGCCGCATGCAGTACAGCCTCGAGTACTTTCAGTTCGTTAAGAAACTGCTGACCTGCAACAGCGTCTACCTGAACCCTCCTCCAGGTGAGTGGTGTTTTCAAGATGCATTAAATCCGTCGCCGGACGGTCCAGCAATCCGTAAACACCTTCTGCTGGTGTTTTGTGTTGAAGGATAAGTTCACTTCCAGAATAAAAATTTCCTGAGAATTTACTCACCCCCATGTCATCCAAGACGTTCATGTCTTTCTTTAGTCGCAAAGAAATTAAATTTTTTAAGGAAAACATTCCAGGATTTTTCTCCATATAGTGGACTTCAGTGGTGGCCAGTGAGTTGAACGTCTAAAATGCAGTTTCAATCAAAGAGCTCTACATGACCCCAGCCGAGGAATAAGAGTCTTATCTAATGAAACCATCGGTCATTTTCTGAAAAACAGTTATTTATACACTTTTTAACCACATAATGCTTGGCTTGGTCTAGCTCTGCGATGCGTGTCTTTATTAGCTGATGTTGGAAAGGTCACGCGTGACGCAGGCGGAAGCACCAACCCAGTGTTTACAAAGCAAACATCAACAACAAAGATAAAACAATGATGTCGGATGATTTTAAAGTTGGAGGAGAAAATGAGATGGTAAACGAAGTACAAAGACAAAGAACTAGCCGCGTGTGACCTTTCCAACATCAGCTAATAAAGACACGCATCGCAGAGCTAACGCTAGATGAGCATTTGTGGTTAAAAGTGTATAAATATTTATTTTTTCAGAAAATGACCGATGGTTTCATTAGATAAGACTCTTATTCCTCGGCTGGGGTCGTGTAGAGCTCTTTGATTGAAACTGCATTTTAGACGTTCAACTCACTGGCCACCACTGAAGTCCACTATATGGAGAAAAACTTAATTTATAAACGTAATTTCTTTGCGACTGAAGAAAGACAGACTTGAACATGGAGAAAAATCCTGGAATGTTTTCCTCAAAAAACGTGGTGATTTCTTTGCGACTGAAGAAAGACAGACATGAACATGGAAGGATGACATGGGGGTGAGGAAATGATCAGGAAATGTTTATTCTGGAAGTGAACTTATGCTCCTCTTCTCTGGTCTTTCTAGGTCAAGATCACCTTTTACCAGAAGCTGAAGAAATAGCGATGATTAGTATACAGCTTGCTGCTAGGTTTCTGTTCAGCACCGGATTCCACACAAAGAAAGTCGTCCGAGGCCCTGCTACTGACTGGTGAGTGTTTTAACTGCACTACTAGATGAATCTACTCGTTTTAGAAAAGTAGTAAAGTCATGAAGTTAAGGCACATACTAACCAGCTCACACGGAATAATTTTCTCAACCAACATTAAGCACTATTGAAGGAGAAACTATGTGGCCCAACAAAACTGATTTTGTTTATTTTAGTTAAATGGTTTTTATTAAATGGTTGATGAGGAACATAAACTCAGTCGGTGTGTCCAAGCGTTTGGACTGGTGACGGGGCCAGTAGTGCTGATTGACTCGTCTCCTCGTCACGGACTGGACTTGTTTTTCTTTCAGGTACGATGCCCTGTGCATCCTATTGCGTCACAGCAAGAACGTCCGCAGCTGGTTTGCACACAACGTCCTCTTTGCCTTCCCCACGCGCTTCTCCGAGTACCTGCTGGAGTGTCCGAGTGCGGAGGTGCGCGGAGCTTTTGCCAAACTGATGGTGTTCATCGCACACTTTTCCCTGCAGGACGGACCCTGCCCTGCTCCGGTCACCTCGCCCGGCTCGTCCACACAGGTGAGCGATGAATAACTGCTATATAACCTCCAGATTGCATTTTGCCCGTGTCGCATAACCGGCAAAATACCGGAAGTGGCGCATTCCACGGATGAGAATAGGCTGCATGATATATTAAACCCATTTAAAAATCATAATAAAGCATAATGTTATTGTGAATTCTCAAACGCTACGATTCAGTTAAATACATGCGATGCAGGTGTAATATATGTGCTTTAATTATTTACATGCGTGTAGGTTATGTATGTGCGACTCACAGTAAACGCTGCTCCGCACAAACTCTAATCATTCACATGTGTGGAGCGTCTCTACCTCATCTCTGCATATAGCTGTGAGTTTGGGTTTATTATAATGTTTATCTGGGAACGCAATGTGCGCTATTTCAGATTTGTAAAGTAAATCATTTATAAACCTACGCAAACACCGGAGAATACATCAATATCTTTCAGTTCATCGCGATTTCAAAACAAAAGCTCAAACCCTCGCTCTGAGTTTACACGTTCTGTTGTCCACATATTCAAGAAATTACAGTGGCTGTAGCATTTCTGTCCTAAAGAGATGGCCAAATACTAAAGATTAAGAGGAGATTTGAATTAAATGTTTTTTAGTCGATATTAACAAGGATTAGATCCCGCAGTAAAGTGTTAAAACAATCGTGCAGGCATTTGTTGTAATGCGTAACGTACATTAGCTCTATTGTTTATAATACATTTTGTATTTTAACAGTTTTGTTCAATAAAACCATATGATTACTTGCTTTTGATACTTTATTTGAGCTAATTATTATTGCCTCATTACTATTTTATATGTATTTTAAGTCATTTTAAAGGCTATTGTTCGCATAGGTCTATTTTTATTACTACAAAAAAATAATTATCGTCAATAAATAATCGTCAGATTACTCGATTACCAAAATAATGGTTAGTGACAGCCCTACTGTGATTTGTGAGCAGGCATATGTTAATGTAAAACATCTTGTGTAATATAACTCGTGTTTCTTTGTTTGCTGGTTTTTATTGTATTTGTTATACTTGTATTTTTTATTGTTTTTGCCATGAAAACAGCCTTAAGATGCTGACATGGCATTAAACAGAAATATCCTACTACTACTATTTGTGAGCAGGCCTGTGACAGTGTGACCCTGAGTGACCATCTGTTGCATTCGGTGCTGAACTTACTGAGAAGAGAAGTGTCCGAACACGGCCGTCACCTCCAGCAGTACTTCAACCTCTTCGTCATGTACGCCAATCTGGGTAAGTGCTCAGCCGCTCCGGCTCGCGTAAGTCTCGACAGGTTTATGTGGATGTAGAATGTCAGAAGGATGCTGTCTGTCTGCTGCAGGTCTGGCAGAAAAGACACAGCTGCTGAAGCTGAGCGTTCCAGCCACGTTCATGCTGGTGGCGCTAGACGAGGGTCCCGGGCCTCCCATCAAGTATCAGTACGCAGAGCTCGGCAAACTCTACGCGGTGGTTTCGCAGCTGGTGCGCTGCTGTGACGTGTCGCCGCGCATGCAGTCCTCCATTAACGGTGAGTGTTAACTATGCTGCCGTCCCTCGAATAAAGATTTTTCTGATCGACTAATAGTCCTTCATTTGAAGCAATCGCACGTCTATATTAATAAACCATCAATAAATCATAATAATGAGCCTTTAATTGCCTGTAGCCTATCAGCGCTCAAGCGCACGCATAAGCTTGCAACAGTGCATGCAGAAGTAATGATTATGAATGCTTCAGGGGAAAAAACAGCAAGAAGACTGCCTTGACATCATCATAATTCATTGATAAACTAGTGTTTACTGTATTCTCGGCTGCACCGACTCGTCATCTCCACTGTGCATGTGCACGTTTCATACAGATCGCGTAATCTGAAAATATTTGTTTTCCATTTGAATTGGTTTATTTAAAAATAGACATGTTGCTTGATGTAGAGATATTTTTTTTATGTCTGTGAGGCAAGCACAGAGTGCTTTTGGCAGTTTTTTGACGCGCTCAAGTTCACAGAGACCGAGACGGCAGAGAGTGCTCCCGGTTTGCTTTTCTTATTTTACAGAAGCACAACATTGTGTTGATATTGTGAGTGCACGCAGATAAAAGTAGACCTTTCACAGATTCGAAAGATGTATTACTCTGATCTGTATGAGCAAAATGATGGAGCATTTTAAGTTAAATGCAAGTAACTGCACCGGCGCCTCCATCTGTTTTAGATCAGTGTTTCCCAACCTTTTTTTCTGCCGCGGCACAGTTTTGATACGTAAAAAATCCCACGGCACACCAAGCATAAAAAAAAAAAAAAAAAAAGGTAGAAAGGGGAAACGTTTTTTATCCCCAATAATTAAACATTGCGTCATCAGAGTTGGTATTTTGGCTTTATATATGATCATGACATGACGGAGATCTGTGTTTTGTCCGTCATTAGAACAGCCGCGTCTGAGGCAGTAAATTAACCGCATTACGTTTTCATCAATTTGCAGGTTATAAAGTTTATTGTAGCTATATGGGTGCTCAGTTTCTTTTGTTGTTTAATACATTTGGCCAAAATCTCATGATATAAATAACGAACTGCTATGCACAGGGTATTTAAAACGTACAAAAGTGTATTGGCTACAGTTAGACAGCAAATGCTAAGACTCTGCTCTTCAAACACACACACAAACATTAGCCTTTATAGACAGCGTTTCTTGAGTAAAGGAAGCGCTGTACTTATTATTCCCCATCATTTCTTTATTTACCCTTTCATTGTGAAGAAGTAGACATCCGTCTTCAAACTGTGCGTCGCGGCGCTTCAATCTGAATGAAGCGGGGTGGAGTTATGAGGTTTGACTGACAGTTTGAGGATCCAGTGGCGTTACAAGGTTTAGTCACAAGCTCTTTTGAATACTTTTCATTGGTTAAATATTTGTAAAACAGACATAACCATGACCAATAGCACTGATTTAAAATAATAAAAATGAAATATAATAGAGATAAGGAAGTTTTTGATAATTTTCCACAGCACACTAGTGAGCCGCGCGTGGCACAGTTGTTGGGAAACGCTGTTTTAGATGATAAGCCACATTTGAGGTTGATGAACAAAACCACACAGACCAGCTGTTAATAATCTGTCCGTCACCAACTACGTGCCTTCGCCACTTTCTGTGATTTTTTTTTCTTCCTGTGACTAAGCGTCTAATCAAATTTTGATGGACTAAGCCTCTTCTCGTCGACTATTAGGGGGTAGCCCTACATCAAACGAAGGCTCTGAGGGTCTCACTCTCCTCTCTCAGGTAACCCACCTCTGGCCAATCCATACGGCGACCCCAGCCTCACGGCTCCCATCATGCCCCTGCAGCAGCTGGTGACCGAAACCCTGTTTGTGCGCACCAGCTACGTGAAGAAGATCATTGAGGACTGCAGCAATTCTGAGGAGACGGTGAAGCTGCTGCGCTTCTGCTGCTGGGAGAACCCACAGTTCTCCTCCACGGTCCTCAGCGAGCTGCTCTGGCAGGTTAGCGAGTCATGGGTCTTTACTCGAGTGAGTGAGTGTGTGTGTGTGAGTGTGTGTGAGTGTGTGTGAGTGTGTGTGAGTGTGTGTGT